GACAATATATTTGTACATGTTAATCCTTAAAACATTGAATATTAATTCTTGAAATACTGACAATATTATTAATCATAAAAGTACTGAAACATTGACAATATTATTAATTGTGAAAAAGTAACCTAACCTAGCACTTGCAAAACACATAAATATTCTAACCTTCCTATAACCTCAACAGTTACAGAAAATATTAATAGTCCAATCTTCCCATAACTCTAATACTTACAAAACATATTAATTATCCAGCTTTCCTAATATAGACAATAATCTTTACATAAACATTGACAATATTATTAATCGTAAAAAAAGTAACCTAACCTAACACTTGCAAAACACATAAATATTCTAACTTTTCTACAACCTTAACACTTACAACAAATATTAATAGTCCAATCTTCCCATAACCCTAACACATACAAAAAATATTAATTATCCAACTTTCCTAACACAGACAATAATCCTAACATAAACATTAATAATATTATTAATCGTAAAAAAAGTAACCTAACCTAACACTTACAAAACACATAAATATTCTAACCTTCCTACAACCTCAACACTTACAACAAATATTAATAGTCCATAACCCTAACTTTCTTCCCATAACTTCCCATAACCCTAACACCTACAATACACATTAAATATCCAACCTTCCACAACCCTAAAGTCCTAAAAAAAAATTCCACGAGAAAACCGCGAAAAGTCATCCCAAGAACACTATACAGTCACAGGAAGTTTCATACTCATCTTTCGTAACAAACAAGAGATCACAGCAAAAGGCCGCCTAAAAATTGAGCATCCTTATCAGCATATGAGGTCGTGCGAAACGATTTCTTTCTCACGTGCTGGCATAATTTGTCAAGTAAAAAAACACGGAGAGAATGAACGGTGTCAAATGATCAGTCAGTGAGTTTTCGAAAGTGAAACCCACGCTGAAAGCCACATGGACCAACCCGTTTGTTCATAACACAATTTCGTTCCGTTTCTCGAAATATTAATGAGAAGTCTGTGGACCAATGAAAATACCGATGATGATTTAGAAACTTTCTAAAGATGTTTACGCTGTTGAGTTATAGGCGTGTCTTGGCTCTCTGCTAATACGGAAGTCGTTGCCGGTGTGTCGTTGCCTGCAAACGAATTTGACACTTATGTAATCACGTGTCTAAGTTGATGTTTATGTCTAGGAAACGTGGTTTATTGCAAGTTTGAAAGTTAGGTTAGGATTGTTAGGGTCGAGTTTGTGGAGGTTTTGTGCTTTTGGATGTTGGGAAGGTGAAAGTTTGGGTTTTGGGATTTGGGGATTTGGGGAGTTTAGGGATCTGAGAATTTTTGGGGATTTTGGGAGTTTAGAGATCTGAGAATTTTTGGGGATTTTGGGAGTTTAGGGATTTGAGAGTTTAGGGATTTTAGAGACTTGAGGATTTGGGGATTTGGGGATTTGGGAATGTGGAGATTTTGGGATGTAGATATTTGGAAACGTAGGGATCGGGGGGTGTAGGGATTTGGGGACGTAGGAATTTGGGGGTGTGAGAATTTGGGTTATATAGAGATTTGGGGGCGTGAGAATTTGGGGATGTAGGAATTTGTGGACGTAGAAATTTGGGGGTTTGAGAATTTGGGTTATATAGAAATTTGGGGACGTGGAATTTGGGGATTTGAGAATTTGGGGACGTAGGAATTTGGAGGTGTGAGAATTTGGGTTATATAGAGATTTGAGGACGTGGGGAATTTGGGGACGTGAGAATTTGGGGATGTAGGAATTTGGGGACGTAGGAATTTAGGGATGTGAGAATTAGGGTTATGTAGGAATTTGGGGACGTAGGAATTTGGGTAATGTAGGAATTTGGTAATGTGAGAATTTGGGAATGTAGGAATTTGGGGAGCTAGAAATTTATAAAAATGGAAATTTGTAGATGTAGATTTGGGTATTTATGAATTGTTAACGTAGTAATTTGCAAACCTAAGGATTTCGACACTTTGGAATTTGAGAAATTGACAAATATGGAAATTCTTGATATCAAGTTTAATATCTACTAATTTGGAAAACTAGAAAGTAAATGTGAGAATTTATAGATCTTGGGATTTGATTACTAATTAAGTGACTAGGGGCCTAAATTTTCCTAACCTAAAATTTGAACACCTTCAAATGTAATAACGCAGAAATTTGAAAATATAAATAGCCATTACTACCTCCAAATTTTCATAAAAATAGAGTGGAACACTTCTATATACTAGATATTTATATTTCCTCTAGGGAATCTAGATTTGTGCCTGATTGTACCTCTGACATTTGCAAAGAAAGTCTCTACTGAAAGAGCAGGCCGACTGTGTAACAGTGACACTTATGAATGCCTGGACGTGAGCAGAAACGTAATGTTTGCTTTGTTTGAACAATGAAAGGGCGGTGCATGTAAAACTGAATAACAATGAGAATTCATATAATAGTGCGTGTATTACTTTGAGAACAATATAATTCATTGCCAAATTTTTTGTGACACTCAAATCGCTAATTCCCAGCTCATTAATTTCCCACCTTCCGAATTCCCAAGTCCTCAAGTTTCTAAAATCTGTAAATTCTAAAATCTCTAAATTCCACAAACTTTCAAATCCCTATACTCCCAAAACCCTCAAATTCTCAAATCCTTAAATTCCGAAAATAAGTTTCCTCTCTTCCCAAACTCTCAAATGTCTAAACGCCCAAACCCCCCAAATTCTCAAATCCCTAACCTCCCAAAACCCCCAAATTCTCAAATCCCTAAACTCCCAAAACCCCTCAAGCTCTCAAATCCCTAAATTCCGAAAATAAGTTTCCTCTCTTCCCAAACTCTCAAATGTCTAAACGCCCAAACCCCCCAAATTCTCAAATCCCTAACCTTCCAAAACCCCCAAATTCTCAAATCCCTAAATTCCCAAAATAAATTTCCTTTTTTTCCAAATTCTAAAATCCCTAAACTCCCAAAGCCCCCAAATTCTCAAATCCCTAACCTCCCAAAACCCCCAAATTCTCAAATCCCTAAATTCCCCAAATAAGTTTACCTCTCTCCCCAAATTCTCAAATCCCTAAACTCCCAAACCCCCAAATTCTCAAATCCCTAAACACCCAAACCCCCAAATTCTCAAATCCCTAAATTCCCAAAATAAGTTTCCATATCTTCAAATTCCCAACTTTCAAACTTTGTTTACATCCTCAAATACTAAAAAAAAAAAGATCCTCCTCTCCAATTAATATTTTACCAAATAACCAGACTTGTTGTCGGTTGTACCTCGTTCAAAATACCAGAGAAATTTTCTATCGACAACTATTCTATTACCGCCATTTAACTCGTTAAGTACGACGCCATTTTCTCCTGACTCGAACATCGCTGGCCCGTCTCGGAACAAATGAAAATTACTCTTCCTTTTCTTTAACAACCGGTGTGAAAGTTCGTCAAATAATTTCTAAATTCACTGCCTCCTATGATTGCCACCTGTAACAACGCAAATTAATATTTGCTCAAAGAGTAAAAATAATCTCGGAAAATTAATTTAATTGTACGCATTTTCGGAGTATACCATGTCCCACTTTATGGCGTGCATATCTCGTGTGCATCAAGGAAAATGTTCCATAGTCACGACAGATTCGTTTGTTCTCACTGACCTCGAACAACGGTAACAGATTTTAGCACGATAGCAATTACCAGTCACGAAGATGTCGCGTAACTTGGAGCTGCAGCTCTTTCACGGACTTGTTCCGTTGACAATGAGGGGGGCAACTTGCAATTATGGAAACGTATGTTCTGGTGCTACGAGTTGAGGACTCAATGTAAAAGAAGCTCTACACTCAGTATTAATAAAATTATTATATTGTTAAATTTTATGAAATATGTACTTTCAAATTTTTACATTCTTAAATTTTTTAATTTTCACAATCTTGAATTTGCAAATTATCTAGCTTCCACATTTTTCAATTTTTCAATTTTCTAGCTCCCATATTCTTCAGTTTCTAATTTTTCTAGCTTCCATAATCTTCAGTTTCTAAATTTTCTAGCTTCCACATTCTTCAGTTTCTAAATTTTCTAGCTTCCACATTCTTCAATTTATAAATTTTCTAGCTTTTACATTCTTTAATTGCTAAATTTTCCACATTGCTGAATTTTTTAAATTTCAAATTCCAAATCCCGAAATTTCTAAATTTTTCTTAAAATCTTCGCTTGTTGAATACAGTCGATATTGAATTATATCTAAGAACAATAACGTTGGCAATTATTTTACGTAAACAATATTAAGATTTCTCCGCAACGCCCTCACAAAATGGCGCCCGGGGCTGTGGCCGACGCTTCACGGCGTGAAACCGCGAGGCCTCGTTGCGGGCGATTTTACGATTAATTTCACCGTGCAGGATGAAAGTTCGTGACTCGAGGTGAGCTTCTAGAAACGTGTGAACCTCGCCTCCGCGTTCTGGACGTGACTCGATAAAATCGTCAACTTTTCTCGAGAGAACATGAATTTGTATCATGTTCCATTCTCAGTTTGGTCAAGAAGTCTACCTCCATTTTATGTTTACTGGCGTCTCGAAAATTCTTCAATTTTATGGACCGAGTTTTACTTAATTCGACAACTTTCACTGTGGATGATTTATGAGGGTTCCTCTTGAAAATCTTTCAGACACGTGTACATCGTTCATGAAATTGTGAACAGAATTCGCAAAGAACGAATCAGAAAATGATGTCCAAAATACCAGACATTCAAAATCATTATGGAATATTCAAAACATATTATGGAACGAAAGTTTCATTCAAATTTTGGAAAGAGAAATTGATAGTTGCGAAACTATGGCTTTAACCGTGCTCTCCAATCAATTAGTAAAAGCCAGAAACCGGTATAATAAATTTACGCTTCGATCACGATAGCCAACTTTCGGAATTTATTATCGATTAATGTAAATCATCCTGTGGAGAGGTCATCTGGAAAACGTAATTAATTAGCAAAGTGGTTTTAACTAAAATATTTGCATTTCGCAGGCAACAACATTAGTGCTTCTACTGGCAACAGCGTCGATCACCTTGACGAGGTCTCAGGAGACGGAGATCTCGGCTAAGGATGCGACACAGGCCCCCATAAAACTGGACAAGAATCTCCGACAGGCTCTGCTGAAGGCTCTGACCGACCTGGAAGCCGAATCTGCCGAGCAGCGCAGAGAGGACTCCATCATGCAGAGAGACACGTCGAACTTCGAGGGAGTAGCGAAGAAGAACCTGAACAACGATATCGGGGTGAAGAAGAGCTCGTACTCGTTCAAGAATTTCCCCGGGGACGAGGATGTACCTAGCGAGGACAAGCTGCAGAATTCCAGTTTCGACGAGGCGGTCCGTTACGTAACCCTGAAGACACCTGCGATGAACATCGAGAAGGCCTCGATGGATGACGCCAGAAGCTTTCACGTGCAGAATGTGATTCTGCCGGATAAGAGTTCCTCGTTTGGAGGCAAAGCCGAATCCAAATTGGACCAGCAAGGGTCGAAGAGTCCACAGGCTACCGGCAACACTTTCTCCGTGACCAAGGTGGAAAGTTTGACGTTGAAACCAGCTACGCAGATCGGGAGCCTGGCGAGAAGCGCTACGAACAGTATAGCGACGGCTAACGCGCTGGTTGCTCAAAAGCCTACTCAGTCTACAGGGAACGTGACCAGTTCTAGCGACAGTAAGGACAAGACCGAGGAGGTTAAGATCTTTCAGGCACCCTTGGTGGCCGCGTTCACCGTTCAGCAGGATGAGCAGGGTGTGCCGAAGAGCGTGGTGCCCATATTCAGGTCGCCTAACGATGGACAGGCGTTGACTCTTCAAGAACAGTTGGAGTTCAAGCAGCAGCTGCTGGAGAAGCAGTTGGCGGAGCTGCAGCAGCAACAAATTCAGCAAACGCAGTTCCTGGTGAGGCAACAGCATCTCTATGAGCAGCAGGTTAGACAGAAACAGCAGCAGTACTATTTACAGGAGCAAGCCAGGATCAAGCAGCTGGAGGAGCAAGCTAGGATCAAGCAGTTGGAAGAGCAGGCTAAGTTCAAGAGACTAGAAGAGCAGAGGATTAAACAGTTGGAGGAGCAACGTTTCAAGTTCGAAGATCAGAGACTACACCGGTTCCAGCAACGTCCGCAAAAGCTGTTCTTCCCAGAACAGAACAATAATTTCCTGTCGTTCCAACAAGGCGTCGAACCTAACGTTCATCTTCAGCCCAGTGTCACTCTGGAAGTACCCTCCGCCGCTGCGCCTCCGCCCTTCCAACCAAATTTCCAAGAACAACTGCGTCTACCGTTCCAACCGCAGCTGCATACAGTGCAGCAACAACAACTGCAGCAACCGCAACAATTGCAGCCACAACAACTGCAGCAGCAAAGACTCCAGCAGAGCTTCGGCTCCTTCTCCGAGTTCCAGCCTCCGTCGACCAGATTCAACCGACAGGAAGCCTTCAACGCGGTAGGCAACTTCGGCTTCAACGTGGACAACAAGATCAATCCCAGCAACCAACACAGAAGCAACTTCGGCTTCAACCCGCCTCAAAGAAGTCCCGCGAACTTCTACAACCCTTTCAACCAGTACAGGCAAAATAAACCTGCCACGCCAGCTAAACAGATACAACACTTGCTGTATCAATCGGGTATCGCCGGCGATTTGAATAACGTGCAGGGAATTGGCAACCAGGAGGACCTGAACATCGTCTCCAAAGTGCTGGCGTTGAACGTGGGCGCTGTGCCAAATAAGAATCTGCAGTATTCGAACCCTGGGACAACGTTCGGCAGAACATCTGCGTGAAGAAAAATGAAGTTAGATGGATCATGTAAATCAATGTAGGACGATATGAGTCAGGTGAAATCGAGCTCTCACTTTTCCCTCTTTCATCTTGATCATCGGTTTCGAATTTGAAGCTTGAAGGACTACAGTGGACATTCGGGAGGTTAGGTGTGGTTGTGCATAACTTGTAGTCACAAATTTTTTGCTGTATCTTTGAAGGTTTTGCCCAGGTTTGCACAAGGTATTGTTTGCATCAAGGAATCGCCGGGCAGCATAACAAGCTCTAATAGAGAAAATGATGATATAATGGTTCTCTCTCTTATGTTATCATTCGGCATCATTCACCATGGCTTTCTTATGCCGATCATATCGCGGGCAGTTTACTCGCCACTTATTACGATACGAGACAAAACACGCGATCAAATTTCTCGCAATTAACGATTCAGTTATTAATAGCGAACACGCAATCGTGAAAGTCTAAAGACGTCGCTCGTAAATAGAAGATTCGGTCAATGGAATGCATTTGGTGTATTGTAGTCAGCGAACACGGTAATCCCGAGCAATTCCAAGTGAAATCGAACCGAAACGTTCGCATAACTATGCAACGGTTCCATCGTGCGTGGGATCGTAACGGCTCCCGAAGAAAAACAACTTTCCACGTAGTCCTCGTAATAAGGAAGTCCTTAAAAGACCATAATGATATTAATTAACATCAGAACGTTTTTTAAAATAGAATCCTTCAAATTACGCAACCACGTTGCAATATACATACATAGAGTATATAGAGTATATACACAGAGTATCCCAAAAATATCCAATAGGGACAAATATGAACTGAAAATTATTTTCACTACTCGCCAAGTTTTTGGGACACCCTGTATACTCGCTATTTTTGCTGCCTATCAATTTCGCTTTCTTCTTTCACTCTTTTCATTCATTTCCCGTAATTATACCCTGCTAACAAGTTTCATCGTGAAACGTGCTCAATCGTAGAGAACCTAGGCCGTGAAACTTCAATCTTGGTAATGAATGATTGCATACTGCCATTTCACGGTATCTGTAAATCGTAACGATATTTATCGTAACTGTAACACTTTCAGGGAAGAGGATGACAGTCGATAATTTCAACATCCATGACATACACATGGTGTACCTAATGGTGGGCATTCTCTAATAAATCCAATCGCTTTGATATCAAAACCTGAAACTAAAGTACATACAGTATAAACGTATAATGTATGGTATTACATAATTAATATACATACCAAACATTACGTTCATCAGTCGCTTTTCGTTGAAAATTAAAATGCAACTTAAGTAGCCCAGCAGTAGGTGTATCTCTAAGCGACAATTATTTATCTCTAGGTGTATGTATATATGTAGTATGTACATGTAGGACAAGCTAGCACGGACGTGGCGCCACGAGTAGTTCAACTCTCCTTTGAGATCAGGGGTCTCGCAAAATCGTGCATCCGACGCTTGAAAATACTTCGTCGACTGTAAATAAACTTTCGCCAGGACGAAGGTTCACAATGCTATCGTGGAAGCACCGCACTTGCTGTGTGTGGTTTGTGTACGTGTGTGTCCTCAATTTCACGAGCGTTTGGCATAGATTCGAGATTTCTCTCCGTGGACGTATTGATGAATATCCTGCGGGGGTAGTCGTGAACCGATGTCGACTTCAAGCATTAATTATTCGCTAATTTGTTTATGTGATTCTGAAAAGTAAAAAACGAATGAGAAACGTGCGTCCGGAAGCGATTTGCGGGAAAGAAATGTGTACGGATTACGAGTGCGCACTTTCATCCTCGAATGTCTGTTGAAATTTAAATTTACGTTACATATTACTATAACATAAGACGTAGATTACTCTAGACGTAACCGACAAGTTTTGCTTGTAATTTATCTGACGCCAAACTGTACGAATCTTTGTATAAATGTTAATAAACTAATTCGTTTAAAAAATAATATGTCAAACCTGTTACTTCAATCTTGGAAAATTTTCGAATACTTATCTTGATCTTCTTATAGTGTAAATGTAAAAAATAATTTCGCGCGGGAGAACATAAAGCACGCCATCTGTACAGCAAAATAAATATGGCTGAGGATAAAATAGGTTCGCTGGAAGAGGAAGCTTTGAAGAGGAAAGAACGCTTGCAAGCTTTGAAAAGAAAAACTGAAGATAACAAGGAAAATAAAAGTGAAAGTGCTAGTAAATTGCCGAAGTAAGTTTCTGTGGTTTTTCAGAGTGTTCTCGAATCTAACCTAACTTAACCTCAAACAACAAACCTTCTGTATTTATTTACGTATTTGACAGACCAAAGTTTCGGAGTTACAAGCCACAAGATGAGAGTTTGAAGGATAAAGTATTAGAGGATGCGAAACCGGGAAATGTAGAGGAAGAAGTACAAGATCAATTAAGTGCTGCGAACACAAAAGTTGTGATTGAAGAACTGGTGAGTGTTTGTGCCATAGACATTTGTACCATACCATCCATTACCATTTAAAATTTACTTAATTATATTGTTTAGGATATTAGCAATCTTGCTCCTCGAAAACCAGATTGGGATTTGAAGCGAGATGTTGCTAAGAAATTAGAAAAATTAGAAAGGAGGACACAGAAGGCGATAGCTGAACTCATAAGAGAACGATTAAAGCAAGGGCAGGATGATTTAGCAGCCGTAGTAAATATAGCAACTAAAGAACAGACAGAAACACCTAGTTGACATCATTAATAGCTTTTCATGTATTTCTGTATTATAATATTTAAATAGTTTTATACATGTAAATAATAAAAAAATGCTTTTATAATAATTATATTTATTATCTAAATCACAATTTATTTGGATACAATAAGTTTTGTGTGTACATGCGAAGAAGTCTTATTATCTATGTAATTGATTATAATACATTGTTATGGCTGCAGTAGGAACATGTACCAACATTTATCAAAAATTTTATTTTATAATGTTCCTAACATTTTAACATGTACTACCAAGTGTCACATGGCCTTGTAAGAACCTACATTATCTTTTGTGACACTGGGTAATACATTTTGATAGTAGGTATTTAAAAACATGTGTAACTTTGATACTTATGTGGTGTCAATGGGCAATTTTATCTTTGTTACTCATTAAAGAACAGGTAATTTATTCACTCTTTTCTTTATCTCTACTGCTTAATGCTGTGAAGAAATAAAAACTGTATTACAATAAAGTGTTAGGCAACTAATGCTTACAATCAGTCAATACAAGAATACACTTTATATACACAATGTTCAAAATATTCCTGTAGATAAATATTAATAGTAGATACATAATTAAAAATAACAAAGATATTTATTATTTTTTATGCTTCAACAGCATATACATTATATTAAAATATCTATTTAATAAAACCTGCTTACATCAAATACATAAAATATTTTATGTAAATACTTACTTCAAGTTGCTTACTATCTATATTAAATTACAAGTACAGTCAAAATGGTTCGATTTTCAATGTATTATTGATAGGGTAATAGGAAAATTAATCCAAGTATCACCATGAAAGCTGCAATAAAAATAAAACAAATTAGTATTATAACAAAGAGGTAATAAATTCTACTAAACATTCATTGTAGACTTTAAACAGTGAAAGGAGATTAAACATGCTATAAAAATAGTGCAATCTTATAAAATATTCAAATGAAGGTACGAACGTGATACGGTCCAGATGCTTTGTTGTCCAGAATGAGAACTTTCGTTTTTATGGTTTAAAGGAGCAATCGTGGTAGTTATAGGAGTTGTCGTTTCAGGCTTTGGTGCCTTAGTTGTTGCAGGAGGTACAGTCGGAGGTACAGTTGTTTCGGGTGCTACTGTGCTCACTGAACCGGAAGCTCCCGTGGTTCCGTTAACAATGTTGCGATAAACTATTCTCCCGTCCAATGGTTGCACTGGACGGAAATTGTGGGTTAAATTTGACCCATCAGACGACTGAATGCTTCGGAAAACGGCCAACTGCAATTCAAGATTTTTAAAATTTATTTATACGCATATCGTAAAATTCTAACATAGCCTAAAAAATTTGCTATATGGCCCTTGACCAATTCGAACATAAAGTGTTCCTATAAATTTTTCCTAGTGAACAAAACTGATTGCTTCAGAACGTTTAATGGTTAATCCATTAACAGGAAGCAATTACAGAACATATTTGTACAGCACTTTTTCGTGTTTACCGACGGTCGATGCTAAAGTTTAACCAAACACTAAAAATCCGTCCGTAAAGAGAATGTACGTTAAACTTAACGGCTTTCTCAAGTACCTGTTCGTGAGATATATATTGCGGTTCTATGAAGTCGATCCACTGAACGATTTCAAGACACGGGGGTGTCGTTAACGATCCTCTGTACGTGAAATAACTTTGAGCCGATTCGACATCAGGTGCAATCAACTTGCTCAATACAGTGCCGTCCTTTATTGTTATATTGCTGCCAGCAGGCGTTATTTCCGGTATTTGTGGTGCGATCAAGTCGAAGACTGGATTTGGTTTATCTGACACCTGCAACATATACTTTATTTATGACATTTCTTTAGTTCCTCCATATTTTAGTTTGGTTAAGTATTCCTCGAGACATAAACGTTGGAAATAGAACTGAAACTTGTTTGCAGAAGCAAGATCCACAAATTTGCATCTTTCCCGTTCATTTATTTTCTCATGGTTAAAATTTTAGGGAGATGCGTTCTGGTAAAAATAGATTCAAGATATACAAGATGTGTATGTGATTAGCATAAGACTAGTATGTTTAATATATAGTGTAATAATTTAATATATAATGTTGATATTATTGTTAATAATATGATTATAATATAGACTAGTATATTTAATATATAGTGTAATAATTTAATATATGATGTTAATATGATTGTTAATAATAATATAAAGTTTTATATGATAACATCATTCAAATAAATTCAATTTTCAATTCAATCACTAACAATCATATAATTCATAATAAACTAAAAATTGTGGAAGGTATGAAGAATCCAAGTAAACAAACATGGAGGATCTGTTACAGTAAAAGAAAGTCGGTACACAAAGCCTGCAAACAAATCGAAATGTATAGAACAGTTTAACGCGTTTAATTATCGTGAATCATATTCAGTATTTACATTCATTGTTTGTGCATAATATTTGTACGTTACCTTGTACAAGTACGCCAGGACAGTGAGTCCGTCCGAATGATTCATAGCCTGTTCCGAAGAACCGTATTCCTTCTTCCAGAAAACAGCATGGAGTTCCATGGAAAACGATTGATTGTTAATCAGATCTTCGGATCCGAGATTATCGTTTTGGCCCCAATGGAAATGCAGCTGTTGGAAAACATAGGTGCCGTTCAAAGGTCCTCCAGATATCGTAGGCAAATCAGGATCGAAGCTCTGAATCATCGCTGCATAAATCATACAAAAGAGTCGTATTAATTATCAAAGTCGCCGTTAAATCGTGAGACGAAAATGAAAGAGATGAAAATCAATATTATTAAAAATGTGCAGGTTTTAAATGGTAGATAACAGGTCTTTGGATACTGGTTTTGTATGGAAGCTACAGGTTCTCAGGCAGTCGCTTTTGGACTTTGGGGATCGGAACAAAAGTAAATATTATTGAAAAGATGTACTGGTTTTTGGGTATAACAGACTTTTGATATAATGCAGGGTTCTGGGGGATCGAAGTTGAGATAAGTTAAGTTGAGATTTTGTGAAGTTAGGAGGCTATGAATTTTGTAAATTTTGGTGTTTACAATGAAGGATTTTGAAAAATTATAAATTTGTGTATCTAAAAATTTGGGAGTGTTGGAATTATAAATTAAGAAATTTAAAATTAAAGAAATTGAACAATTTGAGGTTATAGGAAGTTAGAAAAGTAATCTGGGAATCCAGGAATTTAAGAGGTTAGAAACCTAAGAATTTAGGAATTTAGGAATTTTGAAATCTAGAAATTTAGCAATTTGAAAATATAAAATTTAACAATTTGAAAATGTAAAATTTAAAAATTTAGAAATCTTGAAATTTAGGTATTTAAAAATTTATAAATTTGAAAACATAAAAATGTAGAAATCAATGAATCTAGGAAATTCTAAAGTAACCGGTGCTCAACGCATATATGTGAATCTGTACAAGACTTATATATAAAATAGCCTTGTTTCTAATATTTTGTTACGGTTACGATTTCGTCGAAGGTTCATCTTAATTGCGAAAGAACAATGTCTAACGATGCACAATAATCAGCGTTAATTTGCAGTCGTTCAAGGATAGGAATCACGATAGTGACAAAAGCAAAGATCATTCGAAAATTCTTCACTTCTCTGGAAATGTCTCTAAAATTCCACGTACAACGTGAATTTTCTATTGCAACTCGCACGACTTGCGAGGAATGTTTAATTGATAATTTTCTTACTCCACTGCGCAGTACTTGCTGATATATTGACGGAGAAAACTTAATCGTACTTGTTTTTTATTTTAATGCAAAGGTGACTAGAAATTTCCAAGCAGTGCGATAAATAATGTACGAATGAGTTCCAAGTTAAATGCGACGTGGATGTCTTGCAGCCCCTTCGCGATAAGTATATAAGACTTATCGATTGTTAAATTACTGTAACTAAGTTTAACGTTACAGCCATTACATTGCGCATATATTTTAGTTATCGTTCGACTAATTTCAATGAATATGAAATTCCGGGTTGAATATTTATGGAGAATAAATTTATTATTATTAATTTGGTTTTTGTATTTAGATTTAATATTATTATTCTACTGTTTAGTTTATATTATCACATTATTTTACCATTTCAGTTACCATTATTTTACCCTTTCAGTTTGATAAATAACTAACCTAGTATTTTACTGTCTTATTTTATTTGATTCTACTATTTTAATGTAACATTATACTAGTTTATATTATCATATTATTTTACTATTTCAGCTATTCTGATATATAACTAACCTAGCTTTACTGTCTTATTTTATTTTATAGTACTATTTTAATGTAACATAGTATTCTACATGAGCAACAAAGTATCATTAATGTCCTACTACACTTTTACTATAGTAGTATCTCTCATTATGTTACTATATTATTATTTCACTAGTTTAGTATATTTCTACAGTATTATTTGGATGGTTTATTATATCACAATTCCGCTGATTTTATAACTAAACTAGTATTTTATTGTTCTATAGTCTCACTGTCCCACTATAGTGCTAATCAAGTATTTTACTACACAACTACACATATGACTACTTCAGTATATTACTATGTTGTCATCTTACTAGTTCATTATATTACATTGTATATTCCACAGATTCTGTAACTAAACTAGTATTTTATTATTCTGTTTCAATTTTTCACTATAGTACTAATCTATTATTTCATTACACAACTGAACATTTTACTATAGTAGTATATTACTATGTTATCATCAACTAGTTCATTATATTATATATATTCCACAGATCCTATAACTAAACTAGTATTTTATTGTTCTACAGTTTCAATTTTCCACAATAGTACTAATCTATTATTTTATTACACAACTGCACATTTGACTACTTTAGTATACTACTATATTATCATCTCACTAGTTCATTATAATATATTGCATATATTTCACAGATTCTATAATTAAACTAGTATTTTATTGTTCTACAGTTTCAATTTGCCACTACAGTACTATCTATTAATTTTACTACATAGCTGCACATTTGACTACTTTAGTATATTACTATGTTGTCATCTTACTAGTTTATTATATTTCATTATTCCACTGATTTACCACACAACTAAACTTGTATTCTAATACCCTGCAGCATTGTTCCACTATAATACTTATGGCATACATATAGTATACTTATAGTACATATACTATGTTATCATCTACTAGTTAATTATGTTTCATTATTCCACTGATTTACCTCACAACTAAACTAGTATTCTAATGCCCTGTAGCATTGTTCCACTATAATACTTATAGCATACATATATTATACTTGTAGTACATATCACTATACATCAAAATTAAATTCTGTCATTTCACTGCTCACTTACAATGCTCTTATTTTACTTCACTACTTTCCTTAAACGAACATTCCGCCATAAACTAACCTAACTAAATCTTTTGAACACGCTTCAATTAGCATCATTTATCCAACGTCATCCTCTAAATATTAAACCAGCTTTATCGAAATTGTTTCCCTCGGAAAAGTCGCTTTCACTTAATATTACTCGTAGCATTTTATATAACGGTAATAGGACATGAGAGTATTTTCCTGACTGCATCACGTTCCTTGTTTCTATTATTCCAGCAAACTTGACGGGTTGCTCGTGCTCGTCAATATCTTGACCTTGTTGCTTCATACCTGTGTGTCCATTGTTTGTCATGAAAGCCGTATGGGAACGTTCGAGTCCAGAGTATTGCAGCAGCGGAAAGGTGGCATTGGTTACATCTTTCTCTTCTATGTCAATAGGGGACTGGAATTTCCCCTGGCAAGTTTTGTACTCGTTGCCCCAATGCGACGGACCTGGAAAGGATAATCCATTAGCGTTTTCAAGACATTTCTGTCATAAAATAATATAACAGTACTAGTCCGTTGACTGCTCACAATTTTTGTTTGATTTCTTTTGTAATTATTAGTTTCTATATTTCTTTTTATATTACATTTCTTTTGTGTTATATTGTATAATTTATGGTGATATAATATAGAGTAATGTGAGGATGTTAGAGTTTGACTGTGGTAAATAAATTTATATGTAAGTTTTGAGGTTAATAGTAATTATTAACCTCAATTTCTGTAATAGCAATTAGTGTTAATATTTTTGTTTTATAGTAGTAATGTCTTTTATATTAGAATTGTATAATTTAATATGATATATTGTAAGGATGCTATAAAATGTAAATATGTATAAATTGTAATGTATGTTCTTGAGGATAATTTTTTGTAATAGTAATTAATGTTAACATTTCTGTTCTACAATATTAACATTTCTTTTACATTATTATTGTACAATTTAACATGATATATTGTACAATGTAATATGATATATTGTAAGGATGCTATAAAATATAAATATGGTGCATAAATTGAAATATAACTTCTTGAGGATAATATTTTATAACAGTAATCAGTATTAACATTTTTGTTCCATAATATTAACATGCTTTTTACATTATATTATCTTAAAGAACAAGATGAATAAATCTGATGTGAATGTTATTCCAAAACAAGGTTAAATTAATTTACATTAACATAAGTATGTCTTTTACATAATACTGTTAAGTTTTCCATACAAAATAACCTACATTAATTTAACCTTTAAATGCAACAGAATAAAACTTGACTTTATCAAGGTTAAATGTATAGTTTTGTACTGAGAAAATAGTAACATGTAATTTATCACTAAATCTTGTTCAGATAAAATTGTTTTTGTAAGAAATAAATTATCAAATTATTAAAATAAAAATTATTAAATATTCCAGTGATGTATGTATAAAAATTACATGATAAATATTGACTGATATAAACAAATATAAATATATTTACAAAATTTTTAAATAAAATTACAAACAGGAAAATAATATTTAAACAATAAAAATAATATTATTTCAACTATTGACAAATTACAAACTATCAAATGAGTTATAGTTGTATAATAAATTTTTCAATGAAGATACTGATACATAAACTAATTTTGTAATTAATGTCATTGCACACTACATTACATAAAACATAATAATTGACTCACCATTGCTTCCATCGTAGCTGAAATTGCTGGCTGAAAGACCTGCAACCAAACAGTAAACAAATTGATTTACACGTTAATGTACATTATATAAATATCGTCATTTCAATGCACATTGCATCCAATTAACTGCGTGTATTTCTAAGCGTAATTAGTGGACAATCATGGGAGTCTCATTATCATTAATCGCGAAGTGTTTACGGAAAATCATAAATTACCGATTAAGGTAAAATTTGATCACAGACAATTACTAATGAATTCCAAGTGAAACAGACATGTTTTAACAAGTATTTAAACAAAATTAATTCTACTTTATTACGCATACGTTGACGGTAAATGAAACGTTGAAGTCAATGTTTTAGTTTAGCGATAACTTTTCGTAATTGTTTTTGTTTAACGATAAGTCATTTTAATAGTTTTTAATTGTTTACTGTTTTAAATTTGTGTGTTGAAGTTTGAGGTCTTATAGTTTTGCAAGTTTACGAATTTATAAAGATTGGAATGCTTTTTTGAATTTTTTCATTCTGGTTTCTATTTTTTAAAGTCAGTAATTTTCCAAGTTTCATTTTTTGGAATTTTCAAATTTTTGAGGTTGCAAATTTTTTAACTTTTGCATTTTAGAGTCATAAATTTTCGAAGTCCCACATTTTTTAATTTCTACATTTTAGAGTCATCAATTTTCAAAGTCTCACATTTTTTAATTTCTACATTTTAGGGTCATCAATTTTTGAGGTCTCACATTTTTTAATTTCTACATTTTAGAGTCATCAATTTTCAAAGTCTCACATTTTTTAATTTCTATATTTCAGAGTTATAAATCTTTGAAGTCTCAAATTTCTATATTTTAGTGTCATTAATTTTTAAAGTCTCAAATTCTTAAACTTCTAAATTTTAAAGTCATCAATTTTCAAATTCTCGATTTTCCATATTCAAAATTCCCAAATTATCGAATTCTCACATTTCCAAATTTTCAAACCGAAAACACTTCCACTCCCAAATTTCAAATTCATAAATTTTCAATCCGAAAATTCAGCATTGAATAGACTTCCCAAATGCATAATAGCTAAACCTACTATAAACTAACAATAAACCTCATCAAAATTCCTCCCAATTATTTTCCGCCTAATGAAACAAATTTTTGAACAGCATTTCCCAACAAGTACCGAATAGATCGTAGTTGCACGGCCGCGAAGACCATCTTGACGTCCCGGTGAAAGTCGATTCACGAAAGAATGGAATCGACCACGGTGTTGCATTCAACTCGTCACGGATAAATTATTCCAGCCTCTTTTATTAGGAATCGATTCGTACAAATTCGATTGAAATGATTATACCGTTACCTTTGACATCGAACGTTTAGGATGATCCATACCTGTCTGCCACGCTGATGAATAATGAAACGTAAACTTGTTCAACGTATGCAACAAGGACATTAGCCATGAAACCTGTTGTACACAATCATTCCGAGGCAACAACTTTTTTTTAACTTCTATAAACGGTCTGTGCTTTTAACGCTATTATTAATAGCCTCAGGACGAAAAAAGTACTCATTGAGCATTTATGACAATGGAAATTAACTGGTTAAATGCCTTCGTTGCAATGTCGGTTTGTTTTTGTTCGATTCTTTTCTACTGTTTGTTTTAGGGACGCTTAGAGCAATGTTAGGTTAGGTTAATATTATAACCTTGAATATTTTAAATTATTATTTAGAAAATTATTTTTGTTTTTCTTAAATAAAAATATGATGATAAAATTGTTTTTATTGTAAAATAAAATAAGAGGTATTTTTTAAAAATGTTAAACAATATTGTACTGAGAGTTACTTTTACTTAGAGCATTTAATGTTAGGTTAGGTTAATGTTATAACCTTAAATATTTTAAATTATCATTTAGGAAATTATTGTCATTTTTTGTAAATAAAAATATGATGGTAAAATTGTTTTAATTGTAAAATAAAATAAGAGGTATTTTTTAGAAATGTGAGACAATATTGTACTGACAGTTATTCTTATAGCTTTTAATGTTAGGTTAGGTTAATGTAATAATAACCTTGAGAGTATTATTTTAAATTTTCATTTTTAAAATTATTATTGTTTTTCTTCAGTAAAGAAGTGATGTTAAAATAGTTTTAATTGTAACATAAAACAAGAAGTATTTTTTAAAAATGTAAAACAATATTGTACTAACAATTACTCTTGCAAGAGTTAAAACAAAATGGCCTCTAATAAGTGACAAAGTTTTATTTCAACAAACCTGCAAAATCACACGTTACAAATCACATTATTATCACATTATAATTTATTTTAATAATACACTGCAAACCCATAATAATAAAGATAACATCTCAACTAAAAAGAAATGCAAGGATCATTAAATAGAAAGATTCCTCCCCGTACTAAATTATGCAAACATCATATTTAACGGTGGTTAATCGTTGTTTTAAGTATGAATTATTCATGATCCAAGGCGATTTAAGGTTTCCTGTGAAAAGAGAGCAAAGCAGTCCACTTCCTTATGTACTTTAAGGACGTTCCTCGATTACCGGTTAATGAGTAAGCACCGTATCTTCCCTTTCTCTGTCTGCTAAAGATAAATCGTGTACCTTCGGTGCTCACATTCTAACCATGTGCTCGACATGTGTGGAATGACGTCCAAGACGATTTTCTTAGGATCGACATTATTTTCAAACGGTAAAATTTTAGGAGGTTTCAGAAGTACAAATTTAAAATAATATATTTTCAGATAGTTTAATTCATGTAGGTGGACATTTTTTAATTTTATTTTCTGTCTACATTTAATTACATTTTTGTCGAAATTTAATTACACTTTTATCTTCTTTTAATTACATTTTTTGTCCACATTTAATTATATTTTTGTCTTCTTTTAATTACATTTTTTGTCTACTTCTAATTGCACTTTTGTCTTCTTTTAATTACACTTTCTGTTTACATTTAATTACATTTTTGTCTTCTTTTAGTTACAATTTTTTACCACATTTAATTACATTTTTGTCTTCTTTTGATTTTATTTTTTATCTTTTTTTACTTGCATTTTTATCTTTTTTCAATTAAATTTGTTGTCCTCCTTTAATTACACTTTTGTCTTCTTTAAATTAAATTTATTTCGCAATTTAAAAATTCATAATATTGTACAAATTTTCTTTGGATTTTAGAATATGCTTGTAGTAATTTCGAAACAATTTCTTTTAAACAAATTTGAAATATCGAAACTCTATATGTATTAAATTTGACTGACATTAATAAATTTATTAACATTCTCTTAATAAATTTTTAATACATAAAACGTTTGACTGCTATTTTTTCATTATTATTTTTGAGTTTTGATACTTTTTCTTGTAAAATTAAAAAAATCGAATTCCAGAAATGCTTCGAGCGAGCAAGGGTGAACAAAATGGCGGACCGTTTGGTTGCAGATGCAGTTTTATCATGCAAGGTGATTGTTAATAATAAATCTACGTAACTGCCTCGTAAAATATGTTGATCTAGGTGGATTACGATGAAAATGAGAGCACGTGTACTGATGCGCGGCAATCGTGCGTTTTTAATACGGGGAAAGCTTAAAAGGCCTTGGATGTTGAATCAGTTTCTAGATGAATCAACTTTTAACCGTGATGACTTCTTTGATGTTAGAAGAAACACTTTTTGAACGTTCATCAGTTCTTTACATCTTAAATTTCTTTGCTAAAAAGATGTAATTGTATTGACAGTAAAAATGACGATGAACACCTAATAAAAAATTGAAAATAAAAGTATAAATAAAATAAAACATTTTAAAATGAAACTGTAATATTTATGCAATCATGTTACCTCTGTGAACATTATTTATTACCCATGTTTGCAGAAATAATTGAAAATTATTTTGTAAACTTAGTTTTATAAATTGTATTAAGAGTATGTGAAACTTTTCATAATTTTTTTAACCAATATTTTGTGGAAGTATTTTTAAACAAAACATTCAACAATTCTGTGATTCTAAAAAATAATAAAAATTTGTACTCACTGATAATTTTTACAATAATTGTTGTATTATAAGTTTGAAATAAAAATAATAATTTAGAGACTCAATTCTCCTCAGTTTTAACATGAAATAAATATGAAATATAAAATAAGTGAACTATTATAAATATTATATAATATATCATAAATAAATTTCAACACAAAATACAAATATAGAAAAAGAACATTGTACACAGAAAGTAACAGAACTATAAGAATGATATGTAACAAATTTATACAAGAATAAATTAAAAAAAATTTCACTTCGCGAAAAAGTAGAGAAGACAACGTTTTATGTCAAAATTCAAAATAACGACTATAATAAATTAAAATTCCGTTTATGTTGGTATTTGAATACATAAAGTATACATTCAGACAGTCGTGACAGACCTAATAGAGATCTTAATGAAGAGCAACCTATATTATACAACTAGAGAAATTTCTAAAATCCTACGAACATTACATAGTAGTATATTTGATTACATAAAGACTTTACCTTGATGTTATCATTAAATTCCATTGCAAACTTTCTAGACAATCCAATGTTTTATAGTTGTGAATCTCTTATAGACTTGTTGGCAAATTATGAAGAATGGCAAGGTTTATTAGAATAGTTTCAAAGGAATTAGAATTCCATCATTTTATAATAAAAATTTAATTAGAAAATGTGGAAGTTAGTAAGTGCTTTATAGCTTTGAATTTTCATATTCTTAAGGTTCTGGTTTCAAGAATTTTACGTTTTCAAGGTTTTTAATATTGAAAGTTCCAAATTCCTAAATTCTCAAATTTCTAAATTTATGGGTTTCGAAATTTTTAAATTACCAGATTCTCAAATTTCCGAATTCTCAAGTTTTCTAAATCCTATATTTTGCAATTACCAAATTTCCCAATTTCCAAATTCCTCAAATCCCAAATTCCCCAAATGCCAAATTCCCCAAATCCCAAATTCCCCAAATCCCAAATTCCCCAAATCCCAAATTCCCCAAATCCCAAATTCCCCTAATCCCAAATTCCCCAAATCCCAAATCACCCAATTCTAAATTCTCCAACTCCCAAATTCCCCAAATCCCAAAATCCCCAAATCCCAAATTCCCCAAATCCCAAATTCCTCAAATCCCAAATTCCTCAAATCCCAAATTCCTCAAATCCCAAATTCCTCAAATCCCAAATTCCTCAAATCCCAAATTCCTCAAATCCCAAATTCCTCAAATCCCAAATTCCTCAAATCCCAAATTCCTCAAATCCCAAATTCCTCAAATCCCAAATTCCTCAAATCCCAAATTCCTCAAATCCCAAATTCCTCAAATCCCAAATTCCTCAAATCCCAAATTCCTCAAATCCCAAATTCCTCAAATCCCAAATTCCTCAAATCCCAAATTCCTCAAATCCCAAATTCCTCAAATCCCAAATTCCTCAAATCCCAAATTCCCCAAATCCCAAATTCCTCAAATCCCAAATTCCTCAAATCCCAAATTACCCTAATTCCAAATTCCTTAAATCCCAAATTTCCCAAATCTCAAATTCCCCAATTCTAAATTCCCCAAATCCCAAATGCCCCAAATTCCAAATCCCCCAATTCTAAATTCCCCAAATCCCAAATCCCCCAAATACCAAATCCCCCAATTCTAAATACCCCAAATCCCAAATGTCCCAAATTCCAAATCCCCCAATTCTAAATTCCCCAAATCTCAAATGCCCCAAATCCCAAATCCCCCAAATACCAAATCTCCCAATTCTAAATTCCCCAAATCCCAAATCCCCCAATTCTAAAGTCCCCAAATCCCAAATCCCCCAAATACCAAATCCCCCAATTCTAAATTCCCCAAATCACAAATCCCCCAATTCTAAATTCCCCAAATCCAAAATACCCCAAATCCCTAATGCCCCAAATCCCAAATTCCCCAAATCCCAAATTCCCCAAATCCCAAATCCTCCAATCCCAAATTCCCCAAATTAAAAATTCTCCAATTCCAAAATTTCCAAACTCTCAAACTCATCAAAATCTCACCAGAAAAAGGATAAAGAACTTATCAAAACCCATGTAATACATATCTAATAATTAATCAGTCTCTAAACACACGCTTAATCAATTCGCAACAAATCCTTCAAAAACTTTTACTCACTTCTCATCTATCATAAGTGTAATTAAACTCCGAGTTAATATCTCGAAGTGAAATCACCTGTCCATTTTAATTTCAGCTAATTAATAATATTGGTTCTTTTCATCCTTCGACAAACACAGCTCTGATGAAGATTAGATAAATAAATCAATTTGATCCCGTTATTACATTAACAGTATTAACTACAATGAACCGTGTTATCTGCGACAAACCAATGTTATCATTTCGATGATAATTCTTTTCCACAACATTCCAATCAATTATTTTTAGAACGCCGTTTGCACATTTCTTTAGTGTTCATTAATAACACGAGCCGGTATTATTCGGTCGCGATTAGCACGCATTCGTTTCGTTTAACGCATTGAGAATAGTTTTCGAGAGTGCAAGTGTAATTATCAAGATTATATTTTCAGTTTATAAGCGCTTCGTGCTTTTTATGGTCAACGAAGACGCAAGTTTGTCCACGTACGA